TTTGTAAGGTGTCTATTATCGTATTCTGATTGTAGGATTTTTTTGTAGGAAGTTTATATTCACTGATGTTGACTTTGTTGCAATGAATTTTCCCGAGTGTCTAACTTTCCCGAGAAGGTGCATGCAAGAGGAATGTGAGAAACTAATGTGTTGCAACATCACATTTCCTGGTATGTACTTTAATTGTTTAAGTTTTGGAAATTTCTCTAGGCGCAATGTGCTGTCATTGGGGGCGAGGTGTGCTTGAGTCGCGAATTGACATTAATGAGTTGCATAACGTGCCCGGCCTGATAAGCCAAACCCTAGAAGCCTCAAGATTTGGGACTATATAATGGCATAAACTCATAGGGTTCGGCATATCTCAACCTCCATCTCCAGAGAGCATTCTCTCATCAAACCCTAGTCTCTTTTGGTGCTTTTGAGCTCTTTTTGATTCATTTGTGTGGTTTTGAAGAAGAATGTGGTTTTTTGATGTCAAAGGAAGCAAACTACTGAAATTGTCTACCCTATTGTGACCTCTTTTAGCTTTGTAAGTCTTCAAGATCCAATTAAGGCCTTTGCATGCTAGATCTAGGTTATTGGTGGTTTAGAGGTCATTTTGGTCCCATAATCTTGATATTCATGGAGTTTGACGAACTCTAGAACTTCCTAATGATATTTCCTTGCTTTTTGACTTTTCATATTGGATTAGAAGGCCATGCATGTGTTTTCCTTAAGCCATGCACATGGATTTGGCACTTTAAGTGGATTTGGACTTAGGGTTAGAAATCTTGCTTGATTGAGTAATTAAGATGGATAAAATTGGAAACTTTATCTATTAAGACATTGTGGGTTTCAGATTTGAGATTTGAAACCTATGACTTTAAGGATTAAGTGATTACAAGGAAAGTTGTTAAGCTAGTATGCACGACACACGTGGTTAAGGGTCATGACACGTCTTCTGAAGGTTTCCCGACTAATTGTTGTGTTGTGATGTGCAACGTGTCAAGTCAAGGGTCATGGCGCGCCTGATCGTTAACCGTTGACATTGACATTGACTTAGAGTTTGATCGATGAATTTTGACCAGTTTGACTTTTGTGTCAAACTTGATAGGTTTGAGCTATAGACTGAGGTTGAACATCTGTTGGATTGTAGGTTGTTCGTGTTAGCTGTATATTCCTCTGAGTTTGTGAGTCTGCAGTTGTTAGCATCATATAAGTTTTATTGAAAGAACCCCTTTCTAAACTTTCGTATTTCTGAAAGACCCAAACTTTCATACTTGACAATTGTTACTCCAAAACATGCTACATGCATATTCATAAAAAAAAATATTTTACATTGATAGTTTGATTACATAAGACTGGATACAAACCGACTAAGTTTTAGTATATTACATAACTACCCAGGATATTTAAGCTTTTATACATACGTAAACTCAAGTACAAAAGTAATAGTATAAATTATTCTAAATCTTCCAACAGTATATGACTATACTGGATTCTTATTACCTGCAATTGTTAAACACTGAGAGGAGTAAGCGGTGACGCTTAGTGAGTTCAATAATAAATACAATATAACGTTATGCCATATATATACTTCAATATGGCAGAAGCAAAGAGAAACAAGGAACAACAAAGGCATATGTGAATCATGTGACAAACTTTCCATATCAATCAATGATTTGATACAAAGATATACGATCAATAAAGCTTCGGCCCAAATGGCACAGAAGACATACACTTTCTGATTTAAATATTTCGGTAGATTTCAGGCTTATAGCCCTGTCTAACCATCTGCCAATGCCATAGAATAGAAGTCATTCTCTTACGGAGACATGCTCTACATGGCCAGAGGCTACGTACCAGTACCACCGTGAATCTAAGTCCTTTCACTAATCACATGCTCAAAGGTATAGCTTTGCTATCATAAATAGCAGAAATAAAAATAACACGGGAAAATAACCCGAAATAATAACACTGAAAAGCACATAGCACATATAACACATAACATACAATTGTTCCTATATATTAAACTCACCGTGAAATAACCGGGGGGTAAAAATAGTAAATTGGGCAGCACTTCGGCTCTAAATATAACTTCCTTCGTTGAAAACCGGGCTCTGCGAAGGTAGAGCTTCAAACCGAAAAGATAAATTTTTCGGGCTTCTCGGGAACTTCGAAACGTATTTCGGGCTTTAAAAATGATATCGGGGCTTCGGGGGAAGTCAAAATAATAAAAGTATTGAAAAATGGTGAAAAATGGTAATTTCTCCAAATTACCCGAGAAATCTCGCAGGCCTCCCTTTTATAGGGCAGAGGTTCGGACCGGAGAGGGCAGGTGGCAGCAGATGCGAAGGCCATGCGACAGCAACAGCGCGGCTCAGATGTGAGGGTCGGACACCAGGCGACTCGGCTCGGACGGTGACAGCTTGCACGCTTCGGACTTGACACGGAGATGACACGCGTCGGAAGGGTATTGGACCTCTTCGGACTCGTCATCAGCATCGGACACGGGGCAGGTGACTCACCGAGATCGGACTTATCCATGCGAGGTTTCTCGAAAATTGTGCCCCGAACTTCTAAAATCCGTAACTTTTGCATACGGGCTCCGTTTTTGACGTTATTTATATACACGCGTAAGTAAAATCATGCTCTACAACTTTCGTTTACTTTTCGTCGGCTAATTTTGACTTTATTTTTAATATTATTATTTTTAACAGACCGGGACAGGAAAATCCGTTAAAAATTCATAACTCCTTCATCCGATGTCCGTTTTCGTCTGTCTTTTTACCGTTGTACTACTATTGACGAGACCTTCGATTCTCGTTTAGGTTGTGTCGGCTAAAAATCACTCGATCTAAAATTCGAGTTTTTAGTTGTCTACTACTAAGCTGAAACTTAGAAAAATCATAAATTTCTCATACGAATTCAGATTTTGGCGTTCTTTTTATCAAAATTATCGGTTTAACAAATACTAAAACTTTCATTTAGATCACCAAGGCTAAAAAGTAGTTTATCAAAAACTCACTTTTTACGTCATTCGGCGCCGTGCCGGTTTTGTCGCGGATCTTTGATTGGTCATAACTTCTTCGTTATAACTCGGATTTCGATGAGGTTTTCGCCAAAATGCTTCTAATGAAATTATCTACAACTTTCAATAATAACATTTTACTTATTTCAAATTTTATATTTTCGTTAAATTTCGATATTTGTCTTTTAATTGGAATCTCATAGGACTTCCAATATTTTCCGATTGATTCTAAACATAGTTTTACTTCATTTCTAGTAAAAACTATCCGTTAGAACTCAATACTCATAATTATATAATATTTCATAATATTATTTACTTAAAACACGATTTCAAAACGTGTATATTACATTTATCACTATACTATGTAGGACACTATGGGTCATGGTATGATAAATTGTCTTTGTGACATTCTATATGAAAGACTATGGTGGGGCCATAACACTTATATGAAAGACTATGGTAGTCCATAACACTTGTATGAAAGTCTATAGTGTGGCATAACACTTGTATGAAACACTACGATGGGGCCATATCATTTGCATGAAAGACTATAGTGGGATCATAGCATGAGTGTGACTGTAGCAACGAATGTGAGTTTAAAACTATGGTGAGATCATAACATACACATGAGTACGTGATATCTTGGAGAATTCACTAAGCTTTGCACTTGGTTAAGTTTAAATGTTTTCAGGTTGTTCTGACAACAAAGGGAAGAACATGGTTTGATTGCATCGCATCCATGGACATATTTTCAAGACTTCCACCTATTTGATTTCAATATCTTATTACTACTCTGGTTTTCGATTATGAATTGTCAAACTTAAACAAATGGTTGTTTATTACACTTTTTAAGAATAAGATTTGCATGCTTATCTTTATTTAAAAATATAAATTTTGGTTTGAAATTTGGAACATCATATGTGTCCCGTAGCCGAAAGCATCACTAACTTATGCTCTGACCCGAGTAGCATGGGGCACGTGGAATCCAATGTGAATCAGCAAGGACCACCTTGCAAGGCTAAATACTTCTGGGTGACCGATAACGAAGTAGTACCGTGAGGAAATGGTGAAAAGAACCCCATCGGGGAGTGAAATAGAACATGAAACCGTAAGCTCCCAAGCAGTGGGAGGAGACTGGGGCTCTGACCGCATGCCTGTTGAAGAATGAGTCGGCGACTCATAGGCAGTGGCTTGGTTAAGGGAACCCACCGGAGCCGTGATAAACCTTTTCATTCAGGTCTTGGATATATTAAAATGATTTGGACTATGCAATCTTCTTGGAAAATACATACACTAAGGGAGCCCACATTGCCATAGTGTACGGTATGTAGTTTCCAGAAAGATTGGTTTGACAAGAACAAGTCTAACGTAGATAGTGTAAGAAAAGAATTAAGGGATACATGAAGAAGGGGATGAAAATATGCTATCAATCACTTTCTTGGTGTTTTTTGAATAATCTAAAAAAGCTCAATGTTAAACCGAACTCAAAAATATATGTTTCATTGAACTTGCGCATTATAGTTCTTGTATTTAACTTGTATACTTCATTCGTTTCATGGAAATTGCACATTTTCATTTACAAGTTATCGAAACAAAAAGCCCGACAATATACGCTGCTAAATCTTCTTATAAATAGTAATAATCGAATTGAGCATCAAAGACAATGATAAAATACAACTACATCGTAGATCAAACAGATTTTGATGAATATTTGACTCCATTATTTTATAAATTAGAAACCAGTACATGAATCATACCTTTTAAGATAAACATGGGATAACATGATATGATATGATGATCCCATTTTTGATCAATTGGACTGAAAATTAACATTATATGATATGATTATCCCATTTTTGTCAAATGGACTGAAGAATTGAACTACTGTTGAATATCTTCAACCAGATACCAATCATCATCCCCGTACTCTTCCACATCTCCTTCTCCCCAAGGCAATCCTACGTCACAATAACTCATACAGATACAATCATCAGTAATCATAGTCACAGTCCTCAATTGCACCATCATATTCATCGTCATCACCATCATAATATGCCTTGCTGGCTAAATAAGCTAATACGCCGGTAGCTGAAGTACCAGAAGGATAACCAATTATTCCGTGATCAAATCCGATTGATCTCAACTTCATGGTGCCCTTGGTCTTGTCTTTTGACTTAGTAGCCGGATGGATATGACAACCGATGCATCGTGCCTTACCACATTTCCCGGTGAACTTGGACTGATTTGTTGGCTTCCTTGACACCTTCGTGAACAAACCAGCAACGGAGGCAGAATCTACCGCCTTTACGTGTCTCTGTTGAGATAAGGGAGTCGGAAAGATGATGTAGCTCCGAACAAAGCCGTGTTGACGACCCTCCCTCTTCATTGGTATGGTGGTTATGGCGTATGTGAGGTAGTGAGTTTTGGTCCAGAACCGCGTGCGTGGTTTTATAGAAGAATGAAAGAGAACGAGGAGGTAAGATTGGTGAAGAAGGCGATTAACTTGGGGAAGAAGGTGGTTTGGTTGGTCAACTGTCGTGTTCCACAAGATTTGACTAGTACTTTGTGTTGCAAATCTTGTACATTAATTTCTCTATTTTCTTTCGTAGTTGAAACAAAGCAATAGGAAAATAAAAGTTGGAACTTAGAAGCAGAAAAGATCGCATTATCTTTGGTAAAGATCGTCTTATCTTTACTTTTTAAGTTTTTATTTATGCAGAAAGATTTTAAATATATAAATTTACATAAACTTCAAAATCTAAAAGTTATTTTAAATTTTGAACTTGCTTTCGGATTATATACGTTTTTGCTTAAAATAAAAGTAAAATTTTGTATCATCAAACAAAACATTTTGTTTAATCTGAATCTTTTTTATATAAAATTAAAAGCTAAAAGTTCTCAAAAAATTCTAATTTTTTTATAAAATTATAAGTAAAAATTCTCAAAAACTTGCTTGCCAAGCACACCATTTATATTTACAAATTAACTTTTGTTTATTTTGTATTGTAATTTGTAGCCACATATATTCAACCCATTTCTATTTCATAAAATGAAGTCACAATATTATCCCAAATTCTAAAAAATCTTATTCTCGTCAATTCCATCTGACCCGCATGGAACAACCATGAGTTTAGAGGGTGTTTAGGATTACTTTTGAAATAATTTTGACTTTTAACTTTTCTAAAAAATCAAAAAGATGTTTGGAAGATACAAAAGTTTTTTTTCAAAATAACTTTTGTAAAGAAGAAAAATATGGGTTTTCAAAAGTCATAAAAGTGTGACTTTTTCTAACTTTTAGCGTTTTAAAGCTAAATTACATTCAAAAGTCAAGAAATGCAACCCAAACACTTTTTCAAAACAAGTTTTTGGCTTTTGTCTTCTTAAAAGCTAAACTCAAAAAGAATTTTACAAAAAGAACTTTTAACCTCAAAAAGTAATAACAAACACCCTCAAGGTTTTTTATATCTACACTCCACATGCCACATTCCATCCTATTTTAACTAGTTTTGATTTTTTTACTATATGTGCTACACTCCATCTTATTTTAACTAGTTTTTACTTTTGGCTATATGTCTGTTAGCTTTTATTAAAAATAAGAATGACTTACCTATTTGAAGAAAAAGTCACGCTTTCCATTTTTTTTTCCTTTTTGCTGCTAATCCACGCGGCACTAAATTTATGTTCTTTAATGCCAACTTATTTTTGTAGATTTATTTTAAAGATATTACTTCTTTTCCTATTTAAAAATATATCAAAATCCATATGTTTTAATAACGTTTACCGGTAATAGATACGTATAATTTTTTTGTTGCTAGTCCCGCACGATCAAAACCCATATGTTTGATCTATTAGTAAATGATATACTATTATATCTATTATTATTTATATGTAAAATAAAGTTTGCCATTTAATTTTATTATTTTATAGGTATTTAGATCTTAACTTCTGTTGCTTTTCATTTTATGTTGTGTTGTAATCCGTTGGTTCATGCTTGTTTTGATTTTCTTATGTCGAATTTGATGTATATAACAAGTACACTACAAGAAACTACGCCTTTAGCGACGACACAATTGTCGGCGACAAGGGCTTTTAGCTGCGACTCTACCATTTGTCGCCGCTAAAAGCCTTCGTCGCCGGTAATTGTGTCGCCGCTATTACTATTACTGGCGACAATTGGACCTTTTACCGGCGACTTTTGTTGTCGCTAATTATCTTTTTCCTTGTAGCGGTAAAAAGTCATTTTTAAAACTTGAAGTTATTAGTTTAAAAAAACATTCCAGGGTATATATATATATATATATATATATATATATATATATATATATATATATATATATATATATATATAGAGAGAGAGAGAGAGAGAGAGAGCTAGGTTCAAATGTTTCTAGCAATTATTGTGTGCATGAATGCACCAATAGGAATTTAGGAAAAATAAATAATTAAATAATTCATTTAAGGGTATTATAGTAATCTTTGCATAGTTAATTATGGTAGATAATCAATATTCCTGATATCACGCAAGAAGCAAATATAAATTTAGAACATTTAGCCCTAAATCGTACTCACCATTGTTTCTGATCAACCGCTTCTTCTTCTTCTTCTACAGACCCAAAAACACCACCACTGATTCCCCCTGAGACCGACTGTTTAATTGAAGATGGTCGGAAACTGTTTGTTGCCGGCGGAAACCACCAGTAGTATAACATCCCGAAATTCAGGTGCATCTCTTAAACCCTTCTTCTTTTCCAAGTTGTCAAATTTAGCCCCTAAAGGAAAAAGTATGGCAATTGAGTACGTTGGGCGTACTGAAGAGTACGCTGCGCGTACTCATGCGCTTGAAATGGACGCGAACCCTTTAAGGTACGTTGGGCGTACCCAGGGTTACGCCGGGCGTAACCGGCCCAGATGCAAACCCTAATTTTGTGACTTGTGCACTATATAAGGAATGTTATGGCCTCATCCTCAGCTACCATTTCACAAAGAAAAACCCTAAAAGAGCATTTCTTTCGTCCTAAAGCTTGTGTGTGAGTGTTTTGAGCTAGAAAGTGTCTTTGTGTGTTAGTAAAGAAGAAGAGGAGGTTCTTGTGGAGGCTAGAAGTTGGAGTGCAAGCTTGGATCTGAGTTCTACAGAGGGAGGAGCTTCACTTAGAGGTATAAAGCTCAAAGCTTTCCTTGTTATTTTTTATTTATGTTTCATGGACCAACTTTTACGGTTTTTGGTCCCAAGGTGGAGACTTTATGAGCAAATAGTCTTCATTGGCCTAGATCTGCCATATTTCAGAGTATTATGAGTTGTATGTTCATAAAAATCCAATCTTGGACGTTGAGATTAAGTCATGCATGAGATTAGGGCTTAATGAGAAAAGAGGAAAGGTGTTTGGAGGGATTGGTGACCTTTACAGCCATGCAAAGGCTTAAAGGTTTCGACTTTATGGATTAAGAGGTATTAGAATGGCCAGGTCTGAAATATGAGCTTATGTCTTAACCGTTTAAGACCAAAAATGAAGAAAGAAGAAAACTGGGATTTACGCTGGGCGTAATCCCAGTACGCGCCGCGTAGGGGGTCGCGTTCCCGGATTCTGGATCGCTGGAGTACGCCCCGCGTACGAGAGCTGGTACGCCCCGCGTACTGCTTGCTGTTGACTTTCGTTGACTTTTAGGGTTTTGGTTAACATGTGGACTTTTGAGTCAGGGAGGGGTAAAATGGTATTTTACCCTTCTGTGGGATTGTAGAAAGGGATTTAGTCTAGCCTTGAGAGCCGTTAATGATTTGAAATAATTACTTTATGTGATTAGGCGGGGCTAGGTCGTTATTTCAAGATTCAGGGATATCGAGCACGTGAGTTACTAGACATCATAAGAGGTGAGTCTTCTCACTATACTATACCTGGAAAGGTACTTATGTGTGACCGGAAGGTCTTGTATGCTATGAGATGTATGTGCTATATGCGGTTATGTGATATGTATGTGCTATGTATGTTATGTATGGTATGGACCGGAAGGTCAAGATGATATGGACCGGAAGGTCAAGATGATATGGACCGGAAGGTCAAGAGGTTACAGACCGTAAGGTCGATACGGGTAGGACCGGAAGGTCTACCAGGATTTAGGACGGAAGTCCCTGAGACACATGGATCGGAAGATCCTATAGAGTTATGGCCTGGAAAGGCGTATGTGTGGTATGTGGTATTTTGGGGAACTCACTAAGCATTTATGCTTACAGTTGTTATGATATGTGTTTCAGGTACTAGCGAGGATCTCGGGAAGGCGCCGGCATGATCCGTACACACTTATGGAGTTTATGATATTGAGATCTTGGGAAATGTTTTGTTATGTTACAGTGGACACATTATGTTTTTATGATTATCGTATGAATGAAAGTATGCTTTTAAAAATGAAAAACTGTTTTGAAAATGTACGTCGTTTCAAGTAGCGGTCACCCAGTTCTTCAGCCTGGCGAGGTCGAGTCCTCCTTACAACCCACCGTCGACTTAGTCAATGAAGAAAACCCCAATTTGCCGATTTTCAAGTCTGGTCTTCTCATTCTGACCACCACCGATTCCCCCTAACCCTGATGGAAGAGTACAGGAGAGGGGTTCTAAATCCACTGTAATGTCTCTCTTCTCCCTATATGGTCTTTGTTCTCTTGTTTTGATGCGTAACTGAATTTCTTTGATTGTAATTGTCGATGACTTAATGTGGTGTTGAAAAATCCTTTGAAAGCAACCATTTTTCTTATACTGTAAGTTGAATCCATTTGCTAGTGGAAAACTTTGAATTCAAAGTAGGGCAAAGTCCCCCTGAATTTCCAAAGTTAGAAAAAGCAACGATAATTTTTGTTCTTACTAAATTAGCATATTATGTATGCTCATACACCGTTCGATGAAATGCCTCAATGAACTCTTCTTTTTTATATTTTTAAATAAAGAAACATATTATATCTATAAGAGTACATAACATATTGTTCACCATTCTTTAAGAATTTGGTGATATTGTTCAAAAAAGAATGTGTCAATTGCACTGTTTAAGAATTATTCTAACTGTAGTGGTACATGTCATTAGTCTTTGATGAAAAGGGTTAAGCTGACATTCTGTCAGAATTTGCATGAAAATGGTTAAGCTGGGGATTTTTTTTCATATTAGAATGCAAACACATGAACTACTTTTCTGTTGCAATAATTTACACAAGTTGTAGGTGCAAACAAATGTGGTTTTTTACACCTGGTGGGATAGATACTATCTATTTGGACCTTTTACCCTTGGAGGGTCTTCTTCCTACTTATTGTTCCCTTACTGTGTTCCATGTGGTTTGGATATTTGGTTTCTTTTTTTTTTCTTGTAACATGATTTTTTATACGTAAAGAGAAACTAAATAGGAATATA